CAAAACTCAATCAGAGACCCGTTGTTCTACAAAAAGTGAAACTTGTGAATATATTCGAACTCGATGGATATCGGAAGACTTTCTCTCTGAAGATCTTAAATCGACCAAAGTTTCACAACCTTATACATTGTCCGATTCAGAATTTACTTTTATCGAAAAGTTCTTAGAAAAAAGAGAACAGTGAAGACTATCGCGAAATGATTTATTAGTAATGGATGCAATGGGTCCAAATACCAATATACTAACTCTTTGCCCTCCAAACAATTCAACCAATATCTACTAATGATTTTGAAATACCAACTTAATACATGGCTTTACTAGAGTCTGAAATCTTTAGTAATAATGGTTCTTTAAATTCATCATCAGCAGTTTGGAGAGAGTTTGGGTTGTGGGCATATTTTCCGAAGATTCCAGATTTTAATAAATACTTCCATCATCACTGTCGTCGTCTTTGGTTAAAAGTAAACCATGCACATTGAGAAGCCCAGAAAAAAATGCAGAAAGTGTACAATATCTCAGAAGCATTTGGGCGACCCTCTAATTATAAACTCGATGTAGTAGAAAAAACTACAAGGGATGTGGCTACAGGTGAGAAATTCGAGGGCTACTACCATGTTTTTAATCCTCAGTGTTTTAGGAATTCTGTTGATGAGGTAGTAGTGGACTTTTTCAATCTAGTTAAACCTACAGGTGAAGAAGATACAATAGTGGTTGTAGATAAATATTATAGCCATAACCTTAATAAAGATAATAAATTGCATAAATCTAAAGAATTTAAAAAGGGGTTGGTGGAGCATTTTGGAGCCTTTGCAGGCAATAACAATAAGCAGATTTGCTCACAGGGTAAGTTAGCAATAACGTTGCTCTTATATATTTTTTTGGCTTAACTTATTTAAAATTTACTCTCAAGGTCTAGTTAACATACATTGTTTGTTATATATTTTTTTCGAAAGCAAATTTCTACTTACTATTTATTTTTATATTAGAAAGCGAAAATAGCGGATATTACTTTAAATTATCATATCAGCAGTGATTATTCAATTAATATTCCCCCAAATACAACAGTCGCCATCCTTAAAAACATGATTAGAAATAACGTTCCTTTTACCGATTTTGATCTCTACATAAATGATACCGCTCGAGAAGTAAGAAAATATATGGATCTGCAAAATATGGTTTCACAATATTTTGATATTAATAGACTGGGAAATCACATCTATATCCTTGTTTATAAAAGATAATTTTTTTTTATATGTATTCGCACTAAGTAATTGTGATATATTTTTTTATTTGTATATTATGTTGTCGTCGTGGCAATATAATTTTTTATAATAATAAAAGGAGGGGGTCCGCTGGGCTCCCAATTTTTTATTTTTACGCGATAGTGTGAACAAGTATTGGTTACTATTTATACTGTTATTTGGATTTTTATTAATGATCTACTAATGATGTTTATCTAAGCCTGCAAAGCAATTAATAACTTCTTTTGATCGATATGAAAGGGGCAATTAAGAAAATAGTGATCATTTTTATCTAGACAGCTCCAGTTGCCCCATATACCTAAACAAGTATGTACTTCTTTGCATATCGGACATTTAGCTTCTGGATCTGTATATTTAAAAACATCTCAGTATCATGTATTTAATTTAGTATATGACAAGAAAGGGAAGCATTTATATATTGTTTCACGGATTATACCTTTCTCTTCCAGAAACTTGGAAATCTTGATAATACAATCTTGTGAGATATAATTACTCTCTTCAATTTGTGAGGATTCAGAAGTTTTGAAGTTTATCCAAGGATCGAATCCAGTTTTATTCTTATACCTTTTATATAACCTAGAACGAATTTTATCCGTCAAAATACTTGGCAATTCTATTAATTTAGCTTCCTATTCCAAATATTCAGAAGTTAATGTTTTATTAGCTTTTGCCTGTATATTCATGTTTCCGTTTTATGTATATGACTGCACATCTTTTTAAATTAACAATAACCAACAAAAAAACAAATATGGCTCAGAAGATTTAAGCGAATTGTGCTAGTATAAGTTTAAAGCTCATGCTGTTACCTCAATTTCAATTCCATGCTGTTCATATTTAATATAGTAGGATCCAACTTTATATCTGCCTTCTATTCCATTTTCGTCATGATTTAACTTACATAATGGACATAATGATTCATCAGTAATTCCATAATAATTTTCATTTTCACTACTACCATCTCGATATAAATTAGGATATTGTTTTAATATTTTATTACAGAAATAGATATGATCACGAGTTGGATTAATCTGTTTTCTAGATAGGGTCTTTGTCTCGGGTGGCGACATGAATGACATACTCGCCTCAGTTTTCAAGTTTGAAGAGGCATCAGATGCTTGAGGTTTAACTGGCATACTAATCTTGGTTTCTGATAAAATCTTTG